TCTCTCTTTCCTCTCCGAAATCAATAAAAAAAGATATTAAAAATAATAAACTATTTGTAATTTTAGATTTACAGAGGAGTTGTAGAGATAGCTCAGAGAATTCCTATATACCCCTTAACCAGTTTCCCCTAATGTTAACATCTTACATTACAGTGGTATATTTATTAGTCATTCTGTACATTTGTCAGAACTAAAAGAATGTTTTTTAACCGTCGTCCAGCCAATTATTTAAGTCTTTTACATGAATTTGCTTCTTAATAAGATAAATCCAATGAGGAAATGATTTTTTATCTAATTTTATAGATGATTAAATAAGGCCAGAAGTTTTTTTCCTAAGTGAGATTGCTACAAAGTTGATGTCAACCCAAGTGATCTGACTTCAAAATTAAGCCTACTTTAAAAAACAGAAAGTTTGACTCATCAGCCTGCAGACCAAAGGGTCCCAGGTTCAATTCTGGTCAAGGGCAGGTACCTTGGTTGCAGGCTCCTCCCTGGCCCTGGACCCTAGTCGGGCTCTGGTTGGGGCTCGTGCAGGAGGCAACCAACTGATGTGTTTCTCTGACATGCCCTTGACCGGAATCGAACCTGGGACTCTTCAGTCCACAGGCCGATGCTCTAGCCACTGAGCCAAACTGGTCGGGGTGGGACCCAGACCTTTAAACTATCCTATCTAATAAAAGAGAAACATGGTAATTAGCCGTACCTCCACTACCCTTCCCATTGGCTAATCAGGGAGATATGCAAATTAACAGCCAACCAAGATGGCGGCCGGCAGCCAGGCAGCTTGAAGCGAACAGGGAGGCTTGCTTGCTTCAGTGACGGAGGAAGCCAAGCTTCCCCGCCTGCCTTGCCGGCCTCTGAGCTGCAACTCTAAGAAACATTGTAACAAATATAGAAGCTAAACCAAACCCCAGAAACCTGCTTTAGTCAGCCAGGCTTCAGCCAGCAGGACCGCAACATTGTTTCAAATACAGAAGGTAAACAAAGGCCAGAAACCTGCTTTCAGCAGCCGAGGCTTCAGAGATAAAGCTGGCCCAGAATAAAAAAAAGAAAAAGAAAAAAAGGAGCGGTTGGGAGCTTCAGTCACCCG